ACACATAGTCCAGCATGACTGAGTGGGTGTAACAGGTGCCCAAGAGATGCTTGGAGGTCCCAGCCTATAATTGCTTCTGAGCACTGCTTATGGAGGCCACCTGGGATGAGAGGCACACAATGAATTTGCTAACAAGGTGGCAGTGGCTGGGGACACCAGTAGGTAAAGTCAGAAGCTTCCCTCTCTCTCTCTCTCTCTCTCTCTCTCTCTCTCTCTCTCTCTCTCTCTCTGTGTGTGTGTGTGTGTGTGTGTGTTTGGGTGGGTGTGGGTAGGTGTGTGTTGGGGGGACGTGCTCTGCATGGGTGAATTCAGGAAACTCCTCTTTCAAATGTGTTAAGGCAATTATGGGAAGCCACTGGAAGGAAATATATAAATACACAACTAAAATATTTGTGGAATGCCTGTGAGATGACAAAGGAAATGACTGAGTGAACAGCAAATCTTTCTTACACATACAGAGAGGTAGCATCAAACTGCTTGAGTTTGTATCAAAGATAAACAAGATGTCATACACATTATTTTTTTTTCAGTTTTACACAACTGCTTGGGATGCTCAATATAAAATAAACATATTCTCACCTGTCCGTTCAGACACAGTCATCAGGCCCATTGAGTCCCAAAGATGAGCATTGAGGTGGGAAACATCACGGAAACACACCACACTGTACACACTTCTCCCCTGATAAGAGCAATGGGAAAGGATACATAGGTGGGCGGGTGGACGGACAGACAGACGGACGGTGAGACCAATTGGCAAGGCCAGTTGAAATCTCATCAAAGAATGAGGACTGAGGACAAGCCGAAGGAACTTGAACTGTGTGTGTTAATCAGCTTCTCACACTATGACAAAATGCCTGAGGTAAACAAGGAAATACATTGATTGGGACTCATAACTCCAGAAGTTTGCATCCCTGTTCTCTTAACCCCATGGCTTTGGACTTGTGACAGCATAGCACATCATGGAGGGATGCACGACAGAAAGGTCTGTTCACCTGTGACAGCCAAGAAGTAAAAATGAAGACAGGAAAGAATCAGGGCCCCAATAACACCTTCAAGCCTCCATTAGCTTACCCTGATGACCTGACTTCCTCCCCACAGGCTGGTGGCCGAGTCTTTGACAAATGGGCCTGTGGGGACCACTTACCTAAACTGTAGTGCTGAACTTGAATCTAGGCTCTGCCAGCTATCAGGGGTGACATCACTTGGTTCTTTGTCCACACACTCCTCAAAGTTGGGGACAATCTCTCTCATGCCTAGGGCTGTCCATGGGATTCAGTGATGTTGCATCTGCTATGAGCAACCTCACACAGGCCAGGCCTGCTACACAGTGCAGACTCTCTGTAGTTTACAGCTCTGTCACCCCCTTTGTTGTGGAAGCTCGGTTGCCCCCCATATGTTTGCCACTCACAAGCCTGACAGATGTCATTGTCCATGCATCTGCGGTTACGCGGCCTCAGGTTGGGTAACAAGCAAAAGAATTGGTTAAATCTTAAGTGCTCTGAAGAGACACTTGTTATAAATTGGAAAGTTTTAAAGAAATGAAAGAAAGGAGGTTATAGAGAGATGCGTATTGTCCTATACACAGATGCCCTGCCTATATACACACAAAGGACAAGAGAACTGTGGAAGACTCCCCTCAAACCAAATGTCACAGCAGTTACCTCCTGGGTGTGCAGGCTAGGCTATGTGACAGCTCGGAGAGTTGACCCTGGATGCATCCAGGATGCTGGCTTACTACAGTGAGCACTAAGCACAGGGGTAGTTTGAAGTTTTAGGAGAGCATCTTTTGCATCAGCAGCTGGGGTAACCATGAGGGTTCTGCAGACAAAGGACCTACTGGATGTTGGCCCACAAGTAGATGATATGGTTCTTTAGGGTGGGCCATTCTTTCGACTCACAGGGCATGGGGTGGGATGGGATTAACCCAGCACAAATTCCCCAGCCTTCAGAACACTCACTGAAAACTCCAGGAAGCCTCATACCAAACAGGAAGTCAGCGAAGTAGACCCTGGGAAGATTCACAAAGAAAGGTCATCACTGGTCACCTGTGCATCCCTGGTACCCGGAACACTCTAGCACACCAAAGTCCCCAGAGAAGTGACTGTTGAAGAAAACAGGTGGGAGGGAAGGAGAGAGGGAGGGAGAGAGCAAGGGATGAAGGGGATTTTTAATTATATCGAGAGCTGTTTCACTCAGATTTGAAGACTCTCCCAAACATTAACTTGAATGCCAGCCCAATGCCAAAATGCCTACAGCCAGCTGTCAAGGAAATACAGAGAAAATTATTATCAGAAATAGGAAGTCTCAAAAAAATGTCTATCCTTATTGCTACCCCTCCAAAGTTAATTAAGTGTGGTGGTAAGACCTGCGCTGTTTAGGCTCTTCATGTAATGAAAAGCTCCTCCAGAAATAATACCCAGAGGCTCAGCTCACGGGGCTGAGAGGTTGGAGCAGCTGGAGCAGCAGAGGGTGCTGGGAACCCTGATCCCTGCTCCAGCACAGTCATCATAATCAGAGGGTGCATCTGTATTCAGATTGCACAGCAGCTCCAGGCAAGAGCATCAGAGAGACAGGAGTTACCTCCCTCAGTGATCTGCTTGCTTCTAAGAGGGTTCAGCTGTCATTTGGATTTCACAGCCCCAATCCTCAAGTCAGCCTGCTGGCTGGCTGCTCTCAGAAAAACCAGGAGGTGCTTGTGTTAAAGGGGCCACGAAACAAGAACTGACCTTGTTTCTTATCAACTGGAAACACAGGCTGTCATCACTGGAAGGGACTTGTGGAGGTGAGCTGGTACCTGGGTATTGAGCACACAGCCATTGATTGAGTAGTATTGGTAGGAGAGAAGGGGCAGGGAAGGAGGGGTGAGGGACAGAGAGAGGGGAAGGAAAGTGGAGGGAGGGGGAATCACTGGAATGCCTGAGAAGGTGATAGAGTGAAAGAATAAACCACATCAGCCACATCGCAGGCTGTTATACAACCTTTAGGATTAAGTGATCTGTGCACCAGCTGACCTAGACATGGGTGTTGGACACTGAGCAAGGATGGACTTGATAGATCATGGAGACAGTAGCTGACACCAAGTCTAACCCTCTGCCTACTTTTGCAGACTAGACGAGGATGCTTTGTAGTCATTGGGGGTGGGGAAGCAAGATGATTTTGTAGCAGATGAAAGCAGTATGAAACTCACAGTTCCTTGTAGCTGGAGGTTTCTCTCCCACACACCAGTTCCCAAATGAACTACTCAGAGGCTTAATGTTAATTATAATTGTTTGGCCAATGGCTCAGGCATATTACTGACTAGCTCTCACAATCAAATTAACCCATTTTTACTAATCTGTGCATCACCATGTGGCCACGGCTTACCAGGGCATCTTACCCTTTTGGTGACTCCATGGCATGCCAAGTCCCCGACTCTACCTTCTTTTTCTCCGCCCCTCTGTTTGGATTTCCTGCCTGGCCCTATTCTGCCGAATCAACTTCTTTATCAATCAATGATAATAAACATTACTATCCTCTCATATCTTAACTAAGAGCATATCGGATACTAGATTCAGATTCTTCATGATAAGACAGCTATTGGGGTAATCTCTGTAATTTATCATTTACCTATGATCTGGACATTCAGTATGTGTTTCTTACTTGATGTTATTCCTGTTGGTTGTAGTTCCATTTTTGTTTATGTTATTACCCTTTCCTTCTCCTGGACAATACTTGATAGTCGTTCTTATTGTATATATTTTTGTATTAGGTTTAGAACCTTCTTGCTTAGACAAAAATGAAAAAATGTACTGTGTGTTCTGGCTGGATAAAAGTGGTGTTTCTTGTCTGCCTACATCACTCTTATAAGGAAGGAGGGAGGGGGGTCATTCTCTCTCTTGGGTGGTGAAGACAGGGTCAGGTGGTATGAAGCAGCGTGTGATCGGTCCCCAGCTTTCCAAGGACTCTGCGAATAGATTTACCATATCCCGTGTCCATGAATGTATCTTCCCCTTTTATACTTTAATAAACCCTTGACACCCCTTAAGCAGACGCATGTGGATCTCCTATTACAGTTCCTCGTCCGTCACAAAGCTTGACTGGAGTGCAGCCCACACATTCTTTTGTACATGGTCCTGTGTGGCTGCTTTTATGCTACAGTGGCAGACTTGTCAGTTCAGCAGACGTCCCGCGGGCTGCAAAGAAAGGAATACAGGCTGCCTGGTTCTCTCTCTGAAAGTTTCCAGTTCCTGGTTTAGAGGGTTCTCCACACTTAATAAGAGTAAAGTTAATGCATTTCTTTATCCACTCACTCAATGTATCGTTAATTAACAAATAACAAATGCCTGCTGGCAGGGTCAGGCACCAGCAAGCATCTGGAAGCAAATGAAAGCAGCCCTTCGATTTGTTTCTTCCTCGTGGTACTCTAGCCTTTACATCGTGGTCCCCTTTGTATCCCATCTCGTGTCCTGGCCATCTTGGTCTTCCCTAAGGAAGGGCACCTAGAAGAGTCCCCATGCCTCCTAGTTTCTCACCAGGTGATGGAAGTCCAGAAAGACAAATTGAAACAGCTCATGCTGATGGTCTAATTATGAAGTGCTAGACATTAAACCTTTGCATCTTTGCATTTTTAGCTCCTGTGACTTCAGAGAGGGCAGCTTATACTCCTTGACCTTATGCCATGGATGGAAGCAGGCACTAGCCATGGAGAAAGACATGTATGATCCCTTGCACAAACCAAAACCACCTCAAGACATGGCCACCAGTGCCTCAATCTCCATGAGGAATCTAGATGGTAGATACATGCTACAGACCTGGAAGGAATGTGACTTGGGTTTGGGTTTAAGCCGTGAAGGTCCTAGTCTTACTCTCTTCTTACTATACCCTGTACTTCACAAGGCGCAGCTTGATCTACTTCTACAACAGCATTAGGCCAGTCACTAGACCCTCCCCAACCCTCCTTTGGATTGGTTGGGAACCTGAAGCCCAGTGGTTGGAGCTGGAAGAGAAGTGGCCAAGGCTGAGGGTGAGTGTAGACGCCACAGGGCCCCAGAATGGAGCCCAATGGCACGGTTCATTCTTGTTGCTTGGACTCTACTGTGCTGAAAGTCACCATCAGTTTGATCCTCACCACCCTCATCCTTATCACCGTGGCTGGCAATGTAGTCGTCTGCCTGGCTGTCAGCTTGAACCGTCGGCTCCGCAGCCTGACCAATTGCTTCATTGTGTCTTTGGCGGCGACCGACCTGCTTCTTGGCCTCCTGGTGCTGCCCTTCTCTGCCATTTACCAGCTCTCTTTCAAGTGGAGCTTCGGCCAGGTCTTCTGCAACATCTACACCAGCCTGGATGTGATGCTCTGCACAGCCTCCATCCTCAACCTCTTCATGATCAGTTTGGACCGCTACTGGGCTGTCACGGACCCACTGAGGTACCCTGTGCTGGTCACCCCAGTTCGCGTTGCCATTTCTTTGGTCTTTATTTGGGTCATTTCCATCACTCTGTCTTTCCTGTCTATTCACCTGGGGTGGAACAGCAGAAACGAGACCCGAGGGCACAATGATACCTTCAAGTGCAAAGTGCAGGTCAATGAGGTGTACGGGCTGGTGGATGGGCTGGTCACCTTCTACCTGCCCCTTCTCATCATGTGTGTCACCTACTACAGAATCTTTAAGATCGCCAGGGAGCAGGCCAAAAGGATCAACCACATCAGCTCCTGGAAGGCAGCCACCATCCGAGAGCACAAAGCCACCGTGACGCTGGCTGCCGTCATGGGAGCGTTCATCATTTGCTGGTTTCCCTACTTCACTACGTTCGTCTATCGTGGACTGAGAGGGGACGATGCCATCAATGAGGTGGTTGAAGGCATTGTTCTATGGCTAGGCTATGCCAATTCAGCCCTAAACCCAATCCTGTATGCTGCCCTCAACAGAGACTTCCGCATGGCTTACCAACAGCTCTTCCGTGGCAAGCTTGCCAGCCACAACTCCCACAAAACATCCCTGAGGCTGAACAATTCTCTGCTGTTCGGGAGCCAAAGCCGAGAAGGCAGATGGCGGGAGGAGAAGCCCATGAAGCTCCAAGTGTGCAGTGGGACAGAAATCACACACCCCCAAGGAACCCCAGACAGGTAAACATTTGTATGGGTTGGAGGTGCTGGGAGACAACTCCCTTCTGTGTGGGTGGCACTGAGACCATTCCATGAGCATTTTATAGAAATCTTCTCTCATCCTCCAATGGCTCTCTTGGGTAGAATATCTGCCTTCATTTTTTAAAGGCCACATTCACAGTAACAGATCTTATCGAGGGCCACTAAGCTGGTACCTGGAGAAAGTGCTACTCATCCCAGGACTCAGAGGCCTTTCTTCCTGACTAAATTGCCTTTCCACTTTGGTGGCCTAAGCATAAGGTCCAGCTCTGCCACTTAGGAGTCGTGAGTGAGCAGTTATACCCATAGAGGAGCACTCAAAAGCCATGTGCAAATTAGCTCTTCCTTGGGGAGGTTGGAAGATGGGGCCTGAGTGGAAACCAAAGTGTGGGCCGTGTGTGTGGAGCCCGGGGAGAGACAGACAAGAGGGCTGGGGGCAGGCTTCGCAAAGAAGGGCATGGTTAGCAGGTCTGGGCCTTGAGCTGAAGGTTGCAATGGCCTCTTTGATGTGGGCCAGGAGAGTGAGCCTGCAGATGTGAAAAGGGAAGTTGCATTGACCATGTGTGGGGGAAGAGAGAACAGAAAAAAAATCTCTAAGAAAAACTTAAAAAACAAAAATCCCGCAGAAGAACACTGGCTGTGCCAAGTGTGAGTACTAGTGGGGGCAGGGCTCGGGGACAATGACAAGATTCCCCTCTGAGAGGTGTCCAAGCCAAGAAGGAGGCAGAGTCAAATGAGATTTCGGTGAACTCACTGGGGACGGAGTCACTGTGAGGTGTGGAGGGACCGTGGCACACTGCCCTGTCCTGGGAGGATTGAGCAAACTCACTGTACAGAGCCAGCTCCTGCTTGAGTCATGAGCAGAGGCTTGAAAAACACCTAACAGATGAGTTGCTCAATTAATGTGGCTTTTTTTTTTTTCCTCTTCCCTGAGACCATGCCTTTGCCCCTACAGGGCTGGTCCATGGAACAGACCCATTCATTCATTCATTTGCTAATTCATTCACTTGCAAGCTCTTGTGGGTTCTGAGTTCTGAGGGGCAGCTGCGAGGGCAGAGCTGCCCCATTAAATTCCTGGCCTTCATCCCTTCTGTCCTCACAGATGCCACTCCCTCAGAGGTGTGGAGGGTCCTCCATAGACGCCACCCCTGTCCCTCTCCTCATTGCAAACCTCATTGCTCTAGCTCCTGGATTCTTGCTACAGTGTCAACCCTATCATCCGGGTTTCCGGACTCCCCGCCTCAACTCCATCCTCCAAGCCTGCTGAGGGTAACCCTGCACCTGGAGACTTCCTTGTCCCAGCCTGATAGATAAAATGCTCCCCTCCATCTCAGCATACCACCTCTCTCACTCAGAGGCCCCAACGCTGATTTACTTCATAGTGGAGGAAAAGTAAAGACACTGGGTTACAGACTAGAAGGAAGACAGCAGGCACTGTTTGGTTAGTGTATTACTTTGTGCCCATCATCCCTGCTCATAAGCACCTGGCCTTAAACATTCACTCAGTGCATGCTTGGCAGAAATGGCAGAAATGGCTAAGTCACACCAGGTCCTTCCATTCACTATCTACAGAGGCCAAAAGATGGGGTCCCATCCCCTGGATCTAGTTATAGACAGTTGTGAGCCACCTGGCACGGATGTTAGGAATCAAACCAGGTTTTTTGCAAGAGCAGTGCTCTCTCTCTCTCTCTCTCTCTCTCTCTCTCTCTCTCTCTCTCTCTCTCTCTCTCTCTCTCTCAGCAGCTCTCTAGCTCCTAATCTCCACTTCATAGACAGGGAACCCTGGCTCGGAGTCCCGTAGATTCCCCCAAGTAACACAAGCCGAAGAGGTCCTAGCAGCTCCACTACCGAGAATTCTCCGGGTGCTAGGCACCTGGAAGGATCTGGATGTCCACATTTTTTTCTGTCCCAGAGACTAAGAACGTCCAGTGGTTGGTTTTCTCTCTGAGCTGCCTAGGTGGTTGTGACCCTCTGCATCCCTCAATGGGGTCAGCTCCCAGCTTTCCTGCTCACCAACAGTTTGCCCTTCCTGCTCTCTGTCTGAGGGCAAGAACAGAACTTACCCACAGCCTTTGACTCCAAGAGTCCTGAAGGGGACTGACCTAGACGCTCCTGAATGAAGAGGGTGAAGACCTCAGGGGAGAGGCTAGCCAAGCTGGCTACGCTTACCTTCTCTGTGCCTGTGCAGCCAGCTCCTAGCCTGAGGTTCTGTCTGTCCCCTTCCTCGGCCCTATTGTGGGAGTACGGCACCTGCCTGACTCCATCACTAGAAGTGGGATCTGTCAAGTGTTTGCCACAGCCTTGGTTAAGATGCCTGTGCTGTCAGCACATAGCAGTGAGCACAGCATAGACCCCGCTCTCAGATGAGCAGGACTTCTCAATGGGCGGCCCTGAATGACTAGCAGCTACCCAGAGACAAACTGGCTGGTGTCAGGCCACCACTGACTCAGATGTGGTAGAACTAAGATTCCCATCCATGCCTGTCTGTCCTCCAAGCCTGGCCTCTGTCAACCAACAAACACCTGGACTTGAACTTGGCTCTGCCTGTGATAACTACCTCAGACATAGTTCTGTAGGTCCCAGAAGGGAAAGCCAAGCCATCGGACGGTTTTGACCCACCTGAAGTGCAGAGCAGGCAGGGAGGCTGCACCCTTTGGGTCTTATTCCCCCATTCACTTGCTCCCATAATCTCTGGGTGGATAAGATCCGAGGGCACCTGGGTTATCAATACCTCTGAGTGTGTAATTCCTCATTCCAGCACAGACCTGTGTTTCTGTCCCTAGCTCGGCAATGACTAGGTGCCTCAAGGGCCGTAGTACCAACCAGGTACCTTCTCCTTCACCTTCCAACTCTCCTCTTTCCCTTTCCAAGGAGCCAGAGTTGCCTCCGGTCCCTGAGTCTGCCTTCCTTCCCTCCAAAGCCACACGAGACCTTTCTAAAAATGACTTGATCATGGTCCAACCCTTCTGTTGCTCTTGGAATGAAAGTCAAAGCCTACCCAGCCATCAAGTCTCTGTGCTACTTGGAGCCTACACAACACTCTCTTCTCATACACACAGTTGGCACGCCCCAGGCTACAAGACATTGTCCCACCTTCAATCGGTGTTACATTCGCTCCCCTACACCGTAAGCTCCTGGAGACCGGGCCATGCCCATGTTATTTCACTGTTGGATCCCTAACAGCCAGCCCTGTGCCTGGCATACTGGCGGATGTCCAAATAAATTCTTGTTCTAGGTTTATGAGATCCCTAAAAAATGATTAACGTCCCCCTGCCGTCGACATCAGGAAAACAAGTCTGAGAGAGGGAAGTTCGGGAGCTCAGAGAGAGCTCGCCCCCTTTTCTTCTGCTTGACATCACAGTGGAGCCTCCTCCGAGCCTTGATGCCAGGGGCAGGTCTCACAGCAGTATCCAGGACCATCTCTGAGTCACAAAGCCTCAGGTAGAAAGTGTCCCCCGGGTCCCCCACCAGCTACCATAGATGGACCTTGAAGAGTGAAGGCACAGGACAATAGCAGAAAAAATTGTCTCTAGGCAGGACAGCCGCCCGCAGATCCTTCACCACAGCATGGCCTCACTCTGTGGGGGGAGGAGTGTGGGGGGGGGAGTGTGTGTGTGTGGGAGTGTGTGGGGGGGAGTGTGTGGGGGGGAGTGTGTGTGTGGGGGAGTGTGTGGGGGGAGTGGGGGGGAGTGTGTGTGGGGGGGGAGTGTGTATGTGGGGGGGGTGCTTCCTGTACATTCGTTCATTCTATGGAGATGAGGCTGCAATGTCTGTGAATGTGCCGCCGGAGCTTCGTGTCTGACAGACACACTTCCTCAGAGGAGCTGACTAAGGGAAGTTTTGTTCACGGCCCTAAACTCGTTGACTGGTTCAGGATCCCAGATGTATTTATTCCCATCATCTGACTCTCCGACATGGCCTAGAGTTTTGGCATGTTGATTTCATCATTTCTTAAGTACTCTTCCCCAGATATTAAAGGAAAGCAGTCCTGTCTCTGGGGTCCGCTTGGATGCCTTGTATAAGACAGGCCTCCCTCTCTGCCCTGATGTCAGCCACCTGGAAGTTGGGTAGACTTGGTATGAGTCACGGTGACTCTACTTGCTGGTTGGTGACACGTGACAGTCTGAGATCCACTTTCCAGTCTATAGAGTGGTGACAACCCTCACTGTCTTTCAAAGGTGCAGGTCCTTAGCATCCCTGGCATATGGCAGGCGTGAACAAAGGTGTTTCTTTACTTTGTCATCCATCCCTTCCTCTTCCCTGTCTGCATTTTACCTTATTTCTTTCTCATTTTCTCCTACTCAGTTCAGACACTATCAATCCTCTCATTTAAAGTGCACACGCTAGCGGCTTCTAGAACCTTCACAGAAGAATGTAGCCATTGTCATAGCCAATTCTGGAGTACCTGTCTTCCCCACAAACACTTGCCCTTTTTGTTGTCACCTTCCAGTTCCCACAGCCCATCCCTGCATCCTCTAACTCAAGGGAAGTCCTCTGTCTATGCAGATTTTCTGACCCTAGACATTTTGTGTCTGGCTCCTTTCATCTAGCATGATGCTTTCAGAAATCCATTTTTTTCCTGTGTCTGGTCTTCCTTTATCTGTTCCTTTTGTCTTTGTTTTCCTCCTCTCCTTTCCTTCTAAGGCCCCTTCCTCCTTCACCAGGAGAGGTGGGGGGGGGTGACCGCACAGGGAGGCCCTCTGAGCCTTTGTTCACAGATAGCCACAAGCAACCAGCTTCACCTTCTTTCTCTGGAGAGAGTGTGGGGTATGAGAGCTCCTCCTACCCTCAGAGGAAGTCAGGGGAAAAAGACTAGAAAGAGCAATGGGGACCCCGTCACAGCCTCAGAAGTCCAGAGGCTAAATCATGGCCGCAGAAGGGTCACTCACTGGAAACGGTGCATCTGAGGAAAGTACCTTTAAAGCCAGATGGAGGCTGAACCCGCTTCACCTTCTTCTGAGACTTTGCCTCTCCTCTAGCCT